TGAAGTCCTGTGTCACTCTTATTGTTTTGTCTTGATTGGTTTTATTCTGTTCTGTTTTGTTTGATTTTACTGTGCCTGACGGTATACAAAATTATTTTGAACATAGCAAGAGTCATCATGGTAGCCATTGTCTTGTTTTGAAGTCTTGTATCATATTCATTGTTTTGCTTTGAGTGTCTCTAATCTGTTTTATTTCTTTTTGATTTTATTCTCTACAAAAAAAAATTTTTGGAGAGCTGATTCATCAATGTACTTGGGACATTTTAGATATAAAAGAGACCTAAATCAAACTTCTAAAGATGAAAATCATAGTGTTGGAGGTTTGAAAATTGTAGATAGAATTAAGAAGACATTAGATACCACAAAAGGGAGAATTAATTAACTTGAAGGTACAGTGATAAGTGAACCTCAGAGAGAAAAACACTGGAAAGAAAGTAAACTGATAATCCGTGACTTGTGGGACCACTTTGAGTGATCTAATTGCTATGTCCATTAAGGAGGGAAGAGAAAGAAGAATATCAGAGTAAATAATGGATAAAAAATTTCTAAGTTTGATGAAAACTGAAGCCATAGATTCAAGAATCTCAGTAAATTTCTTTTCTTTCTTTCTTTCTTTCTTTCATTTTTTTTTTTTTTACACATTTTGGGTTTTATTACTCTCACAGTTCTTATTACTTTTTTTTTGAAGAAAGTAAAACCAAATGTGACATACAAGGACAGAGTCAGTCAAATCAAAAGGATGGACATAATACATAATGTAAAAACAAAATACAAGGTGATCAACAATGGTTACCATAATAATGCCTCTTGTTATCTTAAAAAGAATTGCCTATATCATCAGTTATAATAAAATTGAACAAAACAGTAAAGAATAATACCAATAAAACCAAAACATTGGAGACATTAGAGGACTTCGAAAGAAGATAATAGTCAACCAGAATGGGTGTCACAATGAATCTTATTGTCTTCATAGTTGTTGCCTAGACTTTCAAACTTGGTACTATCTAGCATAACAGAATAGAGGAAAATCAGTCAAAACAAAATGGTGAGAACAATACAGAGTTTCAAATCAAGTTAATAGGAAATCAAAGTGGGTTACTATAATATATCCTGCTATTTTTATTTATTTTTCCCTTAATTAAAAGGATAAACATGAAAAAGTAGATAATAAAAAAGAGATTGAGATAAAAAAGAGGGCATAACAACAAAACAGTGCAGGTCAAAACATAGCCATTCAAGCAAAATAGCGTTTCACCACAGGATAATCTCGACATAATAGTAGTTACCATAGTGTCTCTTCCCTTAAAATCTTTGGGTATAACTTCATATAGTGTAGCATCAAACATATCAAGACAATGTAAAACCATTCAAGAGAATGACAGTATTACAGGGTATTTAGAATCAACTAACAGAAAATGAACAATGGTTTCTGTATAATCTCCTTGTCTATAAAAGTTTTTGTTTATATTATCACATATAATAAAATCCAATAAGATACAACACGTTAAAACCGATGGAGACAGAAGAACAAAAGCTTGATGGGACTTCAAAACAAGAGGATATTAAATCAGCACTACCTATTATGATGTCTTGTTTTCTCCAAAATGGCTGTTCCTACCATCCAACCTTCTCTGACTCATTTCTGTTGAGCTTTTTTTCTGTCACTAGTTGTCAGTTTGTCCTCTTCATTTCGCTTTCTGCTCCATTCATTGTGGCCGCTCTGCTACTGTTTCTGGAATCTTGGTATTTTTCATTTTTAGAATATCCTGCAGTAATCTCTGTAGAGTTGAATTGGTGGTTGCAAATTCCCCTAGTTCCTCTTTATTCTGGAAGCACCTTGTTTTTCCATCAATTTCTAGGGACAGTTGTGCAGGATATATCAATCTTGGCTAGAGGTTATTATCTTTCAAAGCTTGAATTATTTCCCCCCACGCTCTTTGTGATTTGATGGTTTGTGCTGAGAAGTCTGCTGTAATTCTGATGGGTGTTCCCTTGTAAGTGATCTGTTTCTTGTCTCTGATGTCTTTTAATATTCTGTTCTTATATTGGATTTCTGGAATTTTGATTATTATGTGCCTGGGTGTAGCTCTGCTTGGGCTGTAGGTGGCTGGGGTCCCATATGCCTCATACATCTGAGTATCTTTACCTTTTGCTAAATTAGGGAAATTCTCCTGGATTATTTCTGTGAATAGCTTTTGTAGTTCATTTGTTTGAGTCTCTACTTCTTCTTTTATGTTCTTAATTCTTAAGTTATAGATCCTCTTGCCATCTTCTAGTCTTTGTATTATTGCTGTTTGTTTTCTTGTTATTTTTAAGAAGTTTTTCATTTCATGCTCCCACCTTACAAATCTGTCCTCCAGTTCTGATAATCTATTCTTGGTTTTTTTCAAGCTGTTGTGCCAGCTTTCAATAGAGTTTTTAGTTTCCTGGTAATCTCTGTGAACCTGCTTCACGTATTCTATATTTTCTCTATTTTCTCCATCAAACAATTCTCCCCTTTTTTTCTGTTCTTCCATTCCACCATCTGTTTTTTCTTGGGCGGTGCTTAGCATTTCTCTAACTATTCTATTTATTTCTTGCTTTATTTCATTAAATACTTCATTTTTGAACTTGTCTATGAGGCTCCAGAGATACCGTTTTATATCTATAGGTGCCGTGTCTGATATTGCATGTTTTCTGTCTTCATTCTCTTTTGTTTTTACCTTTCCTGGATCAGTGTTCTCAGGATTGGGGACTGAGGAGCCTTTCTTGTTGCTCCCTTTTCTCATACTTTTTGTTCCTTCCATACAAGCCTATGTAGGAGGCTCAGTTTTTTTTTTCTCTTTGTCTGTGGCAGTTTGTTTGAATCCACCAGCTAGGTGTTCCCACCCACTGCAGTTTACTAGGGAGACACAGACCTGGGCAGCCTCTGCTGGGCCCACTCCTCCAGGTCAACCTACTGAATGTTTCACTGCTAGGGTGCGCTGCCAGGCACAGAGACCTGATTTGGGCTAGCCTACAGGATCTTAGTCTGCGGTGTCACCAGGCCAAGTGCTCCCCACCACTCCTGCTTGAGAGGGGAATATGTGACTAAAGTCACTGCAGGGCTGTGTTCTGGCTAGTCTGCCTGTTCCCAGAATGTCCTCTGTTGGAGCCTCCTACTCTATGAAAGGTTCCCTATTTTACTCACTGCAGGTCGAGCCAGTCCCGCTCTCAACACAGTTTGGGCCGATTCCCGCTCTCAGAGCTTTCACGCGCCTCTCTCCCTGCCGTGTGGATTGGGACACAGTAGTGGCAGCAGGAAATTCAAATCGCGGCTTCCAATGGTGCGGGATCCAGCTTCCACACTGAGATTTTATCTGTTCCTGTTATAGTATCAGGATTGTATTTCCAGTTGGTTTCTCTCAGCTTAGTTCGTTCCTGGGTCAGCAGGGTACATCTCCCCTTGCTTAGGACTCCTCACACAGCACCACTCCTGAATTCTAAACTGGTAATCTCAGAGAGCCTCCGTGGCTGCTGTTATTTGTCCACCATGTTCTCCCAGAATAAATTTCAAACCCAATAAACATAAAGAAAACTACACCAAGGCACATAAACATCAAAGCCTTTAAAACCAATGAAAAATAAAAATTTAAAAGCAGCCAGAGAAAAATTCACATTATATCCAGAGGAACATCATAATAATGTTAACATTATATACAGCAAAATTATAGTAAAGATAGCAGCAATCTCTTTAGAAAAAAATGCAAACAAACAGAACATGCTGTGACATTTGTAGAGAACTAAAAGAAAATACTACCAATGTAGAATTCCATACTCAATGAAAATATCTTAAAGGGAAGGTGAAATAAAGACTTTCTTTAATGTGCTAAAGCTGGAAGAATTTTCTGCCAGCAAACCTGTGCAAGAAACGTTATAGGAAACCTTTTTAGGTATAAAGAAAATGATATGAAATGGATCTTTAGATGTGGAAATTTTAATCTACTCATGGTAATGTGTAATCTATTTTTGATCTCTGTGAATTTGTATGTTCTGTATCAATCAAACCACATAGTATCAGAGTTCTTCATTATTCATGGGGGTATGTTCTGTGATGTCCACCGGATGCCCGAAACTCTGGACAGTACAGAACTCTGTGTATAGTATGTTTTGTCTAATACATACACACATACTTATGATAAAATCTAATTCAGAAAATATGCTCATTAAAGGAGATTAATAACAATAATCATGGCCTAGGGAAATGACAACAGTTTTACAGCTGATTATGTTGTAATAAGTTACTTAAAACTTGGGGTATTGAATTTTGAATTCTCTGTTTTACATTGTCTGCATCACAACTGACTTCAGGTAACTGAAATTATGGAAAGCAAAACCACAGATAAAGAAGGAACTTTTCACATCTGACTTCTTTCACTGAGTATTTTCAAGTTCAGGCTATAACATGTATTAGTCAGCACTTTATTCCTTTCTGTGGAGGAATAAAGTCCCACTGCAGAGATACACCAAATCTGTTTATCCACTCATCAACTGCAGGCACTGAGTGGTCGACTGTGTTTTGGCTACTATGAATAATACTGCTATGAATATTCATGTACAAATCTTTATGTGGACATACTTTTTTTGTTCTTTTGGCTATATACCTAAGTGTATGATTGCTGGGTCATGGCTTGTGCTTATTTCTAAAGTGAGGTTCTTTTGGAGTCAAATTTGTGTGTATCCAAGCTAAATGTTATGTCCTAAGATTTGTCTCATCTTGAAGCTCAAGCATCGTAAAGACCATACACAATAAATAAGTGAATAAATAAATAAAAATAAAAGAGTGCTATTATAATGTTCCATCATCCCTGGAAATTCAGAAGATACAATGGAGAAATTTTTAAAAAATGGGAGGTTGTGATTGTCTTAGAGACTCATCCCAGTGATAGTTTCCATTATGTTCTTTTCCTCCATCCTCTGTCTTATGTTTTCCATGCAAGATCATGTGTCACATTAAACTGTGCTTTATATTTCCTTTCCAGGCATTTCTAAAATGTACACTGATTTCTTTAGAGGACAATCATTGATCCTTTGTAGTGTCATGCACATTTTTTTTGGAGTTTTTCGGGGTGCTTCAGATGCAAGTAACACATTTAGAGGTAAGAGCATTTTTTGGGTCTATATATTTTCTAAAATCATTCTTGTGGAAATTGAAATACATTTGATGACTTACTGAAATTACAATATGTTTAATATGTCTTCGCTTTCTGTATACTTTATTATTGGACCAACTAAAATGATATATCAGATAACAAAAAATAATTGCCATCTATGTGTTTTCTTGGACATCAAAGGGCAAAACATGAAAAATGATTTCATCTCCCTCACTATGCAATGTATATACATATACATATGCATGATTGCGTTGTGTCACATTTTACCTCTTTCCTGGAACAATCTGACTCTCAGTGACTGGATGTTCATAATTGGCATGATCCTGTATTTGAATCTGGAGGTGAAAACATAATTCATGTAGTATTGGAGAGAAGGTCCTAGAAGTGACAATATCCAGAGTCGTGTGACCATCACTGGGATACGGAATATGTTGCTGTGCTAGTTTTCCAGTTGTGAAACTGGTAAATAGAGAAGAAAGGTGAAAAGGAAATCACAAGATAAAGGAGGAAAATATGCTCTCCTGATATACACTTGTGATGGTTGCAAAAGGAGAGATGTGCACAAGGGAAACAAATATTGGTAGATAAAGTAGTATTTGCAGTGTTTCTCAGTGAAAGAGCCATTTGGCATAGAGAAATTCCTGTACTTACCCACTTATTGTCTGTATTAGTCACTTCCCCATCACTGAACAATATATCCACCACCCAGAATTTAAAGGAAGAGACGTTTATTTGGCTCATGATTTTTAATGGGTTCAGGCTATGTTTGGCTAGATCTGAGGCAGAAACAGCATGGTGGAAGGGCATGACTTGGGAAGTGCTCAATCTATGGCAGCCAGCAAGCAGAGAGATAAGGGAGAGCCAGAGACAGGAATCTACCCTTCCAGGTCACACTTGCAGGGACCCACCTGTTCTGACCTGGCCCCCCCTCCTAACACATGAGACTTTTGGGGGACATTTCAGTGCTTCTTATTGAAGAAACACTAGGCATTTAGAAACATGACAATTTTTGTCATCTAGTTCTATTATTTAAGACTCTCCTGACACTTAACCATTTGTTGCCCCTAGTACTGATGATTATGACTAATGAAAAGTTTGCTTCTCCGTTTCTCTAAAATTTCCTGGAGTAGGGTTAGGAGTTGCAAACTGATTACTATGACCCTGGGTATGATTTACTTAGCCCTGGCAACAATATGATGCTTAATCTTGATTGTCAACTTGATTGGTTTGAGAGCTGACTAGGGGACTAGAAAACCCTAGATGTGTCCAGGTGAGTCATGGAGGCATGGCTTGTATCTAGTCCCTGGTCCTTTCTTCTCTGGTGTCTTTGCTTGAGCTTTGCTTCCTAGCTGCAATGAAGTGAGCAGTTTTGCTCTACCATGGCCTTCTACTATCATGTTTTGGCCTTGAAGCCAGTAGATCATGGACTGAACCTCTGAAACTGTGAACCAAATAAATTTCTCTTTTAATCTCCAATTTGTCACAAGGTTTTCACATTTATGCTCCTAGCCCACCTCCTGAGGACATTTGAATATTCTGTCTCAAAATAAGCAAACCTCAGTCTATATAGAAAAGATAACCTGCGATAATCTTTTTTATTAAGCTTTTATAAGATGCTCCTATTTGCTGAAGAAATTTTGAAGGACTCCATTCAAAATCTCAAGAGCAAATCTAAGTGCCATCAATGAATGAATCAATGCATGAACTCATTGCTCAATTCTTTGTTTCTTTTTTGTAGAGCTACATTTAGTTTTGGGAGTTGTCATGGACATCCTTGGAAGCATCATATGTGGATACTGCTGTGCAAGAGTCATTGAGTTTATATTGACTGACCCTTTTAACAATTCACTGACTAATATCATCCTCAGCATTTCATTGGTGTACATGACATTCTACACTGGTAAGGCTGACACAAATACAAAAAAATGCTGTCCTCAAAGTAAACGTTATGAATCCTGGTATTTGTCTTAATCTTGATTCCAGTTACTTTTCTTCAACAGTGTCTCTTTTTTGCGATCTGCCCACGTGTCTTGGCATATATTGTGTTACTGTCATCTGTAGCTCTTTCCTGTTGTCTTTAGCACAGGAAAAGTGCTCCTTCTAGCAATTCCACGTCTTGTCCTCTTGCATTTATCTCTATAATCACTCTCCTTCTTTTTGAGCTTTTCCCTTTGACCTCGCAGGTAGTCACTGGTGGTCCTCTGAAAGAGGAATGAGCACAGAGATCACTTCTGCTGTCACCCTGAGCAATACATCTGTCACATGAGAAAGTTCCGAGAGTTGGTCCCCATGGCTTTTCGGCTCTGTGGCCTTCGATTCAATGGGTCATAATCTGAGGAGGCTGTTGAAGTGTCCTTTGAAGTGTCTTACCTGCAGTCCTTTCCTGAAAGGAGAAATTACACATACTGATACCTGGAAAGTAGGCTGGAAAATGAAATAATTAGAGGAGTAAGAGTACCCAGCACTGGTGGACATTCAGCCAGGATAACTGGGCATTGAAATGTTTGCTGGCCAGCCCAGGAGCCATAGTAATGATGGCCAACACTGTCAATTTCTGCTTTTGATCTCATCTCTCAGAGTGCAACAACCTCTATGTCTTAAACAGCTTAGAGGTTAATTATTCCTCTCTTCGCCTCCAGTTATTTAAAAGCATTACTTCCTCTACAGATAAATTGTCACAGCAGGAGTGGGAGTGCTGCTTATTGCTCTGAGTCAGAAAAATTACAGAAAATATTCACTGGAGACTCATTTCCTTCAACTTTTTCATTTTTTTCTCCTATGAAGCTTTTGTGGCTGTCTTAAATCTCGAAAAAAAATTATTGAGTCTTTCTATTTCTCTGCCAGACTGTGAGTTCCTTAAAGTGGAGTCTATACTTGGTTCTCTTATTTGTTCTATCTCTGCCCAGCAAGCTCAAAGCTTTCCATATGCATGATAACATAATGCACGTTGGCTGAATAAACTGATACTAGTCTTTGAAGAGCTTTCGAGTTAGGTGGACTTGTGTTCAAACGCCAGCTCCATAAATATCTTATTGGTATTAAATAACAAGCCTCACTAAGCTGGAGCTTCTTCATCTGTAAAAGTGGCCAATAACTTCTAGTTCCTAGAGGGTATCAGAGCAGAGAGAGACATGAATGAGCTAATGTCTGTTGTGTGGCTTGTTTATGCTGCTGAGCTGTATGTAGATAGAGTTCCTGTTGGGTTTAAAGAGCTAATTAGGCACATTTCTTCCCAACTCCATATTCGTGGCCATGAAATTGCCCTTGGTGGGAGTCTCAATTACTGTGGATACTGGAAGACTATAAATCAAGGACACCCCAGACTCACACATACACACAGACACCTAGGAAAGTTGTTTAAAACATTTACCAGAACGCCACTGAGTTCAAAGTATGGCAGTTAAGAAATATTGATTCCTTTCACTTTCCCTTTTTAAAAAAATGGAGCTGGTGCACACCTATAACCCCAGCACTCAGGAGGCTGAGGCAGGAGGATTGCTGTGAGTTTGAGGCTAGCCTGGGCTACATAGTGAGACTCTGCCTCAAAAAACAAAACAAAACAAAATGAAATGAGTTGTTTCCAGATAGTGCATGGCATCCTCTAAGATATGGGAGGATGGGGCTTCTAGAGTATGCTAGTATCATTTCCACATTAGAAGGCTCTCAGTCCTGACGCCCAACTTTCCAAGTTGAGATGAATTTGTCATCTAAGGAAGCAATAAGAATTCCTTATACTCATTTAGGCATGCAGCCAAAAAGCTTGATCAATTCAGCTCAATTCAATTCAAATCAAATGTATGCCAAAAAGTATTTAAAATCCAGTCATAGAGGCCACACCAGCAAGCAAACCCAGTCTGGGAGCCAGGGCCATGTTCGAGCTGCCAGCAGACTGGAACAGCCAGTCCCCAGCCCCTTCCAGTGCACCGGCTTGCAAACAAGAAGATCCAATATTCACCCTCACACTACTGTAAGTGAATAGTTTATCTGGAGAAACACAGACTGTGATGATAGCCATGGAGGTGCAACGCAGCTGGATGCCTATAGTGCTTGGTGTTTCACTAACATTGCAGGTCTAGGGCCAGTGGTCTGATACGGGTTCAGAGGATAGTGGTACACAGTGGGACATCTAGGGGGGATTTCCTTCTGAGGGTTGCAGCCATTGTTGATTCCCTATGGTCTTGTTTTGAAATCCTATATCATTTCCATTGTTTTGTTGAGTTGGATTTTATTCTCTTTTGTTTTGTTTGATTATGTCAAATCTGATGGCAGAAACAGCTATTTTGAGGATAGCAACATATATTATGGTTGCTATTTTGGATTTACTGTTGGTTTGTTTTGAAGTCCTTTATTGCATTCATTGTTTTGTTTTTATTGTTTTTATTCTATTCTGTTCTGTTTGATTTTTACTGTGTCTGAAGTTAAATGCAGCTATTTTGAAGACATCAAAAGGCATTACGGTAACTATTGTTGATTTTGCAATTGCAGTCCTGTGTCTCTTACACTGGTTTGTTTCGATTGGTTTTATTGTATTTTATTCTCTTTAAAAAATCTAGTCATACAAATTAAATAGAGTTGAAAATAAGATTTGGAGGGACAGCTTCACTATATCACAGTTTGCAGCACTACTGGTTATACTGTTACTGGCTATTTAAATTAAACTCAGGTAAGTAAGCATATAAAAATCTAAAGGGAACTTAAGTGATTAGATAAGTGAAAGGAACAATAAAATACTATCTAAAGTAATAGACAGTATTAATTTACTAAGCAGGAAGTGAATAGACAAATTAATAACACGATAATAATGATTACAATTTATTCATTGGTACAAAATGTGCCAGGCAGTTTTTATGGAATCTGATTTGACTTTCACAACAATTATACAATTGCACCTGTTTTCCAAATGGAAGAACTCAAAGGAGAAAAGGAAGGTCATGTTCCAAAAGCAACCAACTTTGTCCTGTTCCAAAAATTCATCCACTTTTGTTTTTCATGTTCTTTCTTTAGCTTTTTGTCTGTTGTTTATAATATGTTATTTGAGAACTCTGCAGCCTCGCACTGTTGGTATTTACAGTATTCAAACATTCTTCATGATTATTTTTCTTGCCCCAGGCTACACTTACAAATCTGTTCAGAGCCCACTTGTGTTAGGGAGGCAAAAGACAAGCAAGCTTCCAAGATCTTCAGGAACCAAATGAACACTGGACTTGGTTCATGGCTCCTGGTGCACACAGCACAGTGCCCCCTCGGTGCCAAGCAGAGACCGTTTTACTACTCTTGATTATCTTTATCCTCAGTGACAATCTGGGGTTGGCCAGTGGGGTCAAAGAGGCTTGATTTGGGAAGTCTGTTAGCAAAAAATGGCTTTTACATTTTACAATGTTTTACAAGATAATGAAAGAAAAATAATTTGTGGTATGTGAAGATTTATGTGAAATTCAAATTTTAGTGTCTAGAGATGAAGTTTTGTTAGATACTCATTTGCTTGTATGCTGTCTGTGTCTACCTTTGCACTCCAACAGCTGAGTGAGTAGTTGTGGCAGATGCCATGTGACCCACAAAGGTTAGATATTTACTGTCTGGCCCTTTACCAAGAAAAGTTTCACTACTCCTGATTCCTGAGATTAGGTCAATCCCTTGAAATAGCTTTCTAAGTCAGCAGTACTCCTCTCAAATTCCCCACCACCTCTTCCCTCAGGATAAAGTACCTCAATGTGCAGATTTAAATGCATTTAATTTTACTGTTTTTTTTTTTCCCTCTCCCCAGCGGAAAATTTTGGAATGTCAGGCATTGTTGCTTTGATCACTGTGGGACTGAATTTAGATTCCTTAAGCTTTAAAGCAAACATGGAGCATGTAATTACTAAGTAAGTTTCCTATTCTGTATTTAATACAAGTCTCATAGTTGTTAAGTTCTTAAGAGGTCATGCCTTTGTGGATGCTACTAAAATTCCCTTTATATAACTTTTTAAAAAAACTTTGACGTTTAAATTTTGTTCTGAGTTACATTTGCAAAGAACTTAAAGTACCAATAATTATTGACATTTGTATTTTCATTATAAAGTATCAGTAGCTGAGAGATCATAGTCTTTTTTAATATAACTTTTTGATAGACTTTTACTTTGAATTGTGGATGTAAAGAAATAATGATTTTCTCCCTTTGTTTAAGAGCATTGCTTAAACTGTCATTTCCTTTTTATTCATCCTAGATTCCTAATGATGTTTGCATCCATATATGAACATTTAATCTATACTTTCTTGGGCATTGTGGTTGGATGCGGAGAAATCGAGTATTTCAAATTTCACGCTATAGTTTTCTCTCTCATGTTGTTTGTGACAGTGAATTGTGTAAGGTAATAATCATACTTTAAAGTTTATTTTCTGAGCTTAGTTATGAAGTCCAGGCTTAGAACTGGGAATCAATGGTGTACAGCAAAAAAACGAAGATCTTGATGTGGCATCAGGAAACCTGCTGTGTGATCAGGGTCTTGACAATAGCTGCTGTGCCCCTCAGGTAAAGCAAATGCTCTGCAAGGTCTGGGAAATGAGCCAGGGTAGACCAACATCACCCTTGACAATGCAAATTCTGGGTCCACTGAGTTGCTTCTTGGGAGACGAGAGTCAGGAAACAGTTTGAACATATTCCCTGGGTGGTTTTGACTCAAGGCTAAGGTTTGAGCACGCTGCATGAGAATAACGGCTCTTAGCATTCTTGTTGACTTTCATCATCATTTACTATAATCAATAGCTATGGTAAATTCAATTAGTTCTGACTCCACTCGCGTGCCTCTAGAATGTCAAAGCTAGCATGTGATAGCCGTATCTCCCATAAGAATTCATAATGGTTTCTTTGCCACACCAGCCAGTGGCCAATGGAGCGTACTTTTTTTTTTTTTTTTTTTTTTAATTTAAGAGGAAAAAGAGAAAAACACAAAACAAAACAAAGCAGTGTAAGGTTACACATAATACAGAACTACAAAAAAAAAACATAACAGTAAGAAATCACCTGTTAATAGATTACATATTATCATCTTGGAAATAGTTGCTTGAATCACAGTATCAAAGAATACAAAGTAGACATTCAAACAGAGAGACTGCAAACAGCTGTGTTCAATGATCCAAAAACATTAATATAGTCAGCTATTTAACATCCCTAAACACACTTGCTGTTATATCCGTTAGAGCTCTTTTTTTTTTTCCCTCCCTCTCTTTTTTACAACAAAATTTATACATTTTGGATTTTATTACTCCTTAGTTCTTATTACTTTTTTGGGGGGGAGAGAATAAAGTCAAATACGTGTCCTCATGGAAGTTGCTTCTACGGATTCCAAGGCCCTGAGCGGATTCAGGCGCTCACTCTTACATAATTCTACCCGCCTCCCCCAGTCCTGCCCCGTCCATGTTGCGTCTAACTTTGGTGGCTGTGTGCTGAATCTGTAGTCATCTGGTTATCTGTTCTCTGTTTCTAGGTCCGGATCTCTTGAAAAATCATTTTTAAATCAATCGTTGTTTCCTTGCATAATGTGTGTTTATCTTTGGTTCCAAATCCCATCTTTCACACTTGTTAGGTTTGTTATTGTGAATATATGATTTTGCAAAGTTACCTAATCTAAATTTCACTGTGCTTATTTGTAGAATGGGCTGAACTTTCAGAACTATCTCAGAGGTGCTATGAGGATTAAATGTAGTAATCCGAGTCTAAGTGTATAACCCTTCCTGGTGCAGAATAGATGCTCAGTAAACTTAGTTACTACTATTATTATGGGTATCCTTATTTTCTCAGGATGAGAAAGCATTTTTGAAACTTTAAAGCAGTGAAAGTGTTCCCGAGTGAAATTATCAGTAGATTTTAGAACAAAACATTTTAAGTAAATTAAAAGAATGAAACAAACCACTGTACATTTATTTAGCCTGCAGATATTTATCAAGATATTTATCAAGTATCTACTAAAAGCCAAGCATTGTTCATTTAAATGATCAAAGTAGTCCTACATTATGTATGTCAATAGGGAGTTTACATTATTATGGAGGATTCCTGCAAGGGAAAGCATATTAAATATTTAACATTATGTAATAGACAACGATGAAAATTATGAAAAATAAAGAATGCAGGTTGAGGTATGTGCTCACAGGGGACAGTGAGCTGTATCTTCAATAGGGTGGTCAGGGTAGCTTCATTTAGAAAGTGATGTTTCAATAAATATATGGAAGAGGCCAGAGAATGAGGTGAATATCAAGAAAGCTTTTTTAAAAAAAGCTATATAGAGGATAGGTGCGGGTGTAGACTCTGTTTCTCAAAAATAGAAATTCTCTAAATCGACTTGTATGATTCCTAGCTGAGTAACTGATACATTATATGGTTTTTGAGGTTGAGATATGTCTGATTTTACTTTTGCTGAAATCTCATTTATTCTAAATCATCCAAAGTACAATACTGATAATTCCTTGGTATAGCTCCCCTAAAGATAGGTTCTATGATCTGTTGTAGAAAAATGACTTACCATGAAGGCACAAATGGAAATTAATTAGTATATGATTTTTTTTTGATCTCGAGAAAATCTTGGTTGGATTAAGTTTATTAAAATGTGTACAATAATTTTATCTTTTGGCCATGATCTAATTCTATGACCTTTTGACCATGTTCAATTCTAATTTCTGAATTTGGCCATTTTATGGCCTTTCATGGAATAGATTATCTTGTCAATATTCTTTTAAAAAGTTTTCATGCAGGAATTTACTATCTAAGTGTAAGTACACAATACATAAATAATAAATCCCACTATTTATATAAAACTTCTAGCATTATCTTATTCTAAAAGAAATATTCATATTTACTTAAGCGAAACAAGTTTAAAAGGTCTAGAAGTGGAAAATATTAAAGATCCACATGCAATAAAAAGTGAATACAAATTATTCAACTCCACAAGTACATTCACACATTCATACAAGTACGTGTTCACATTTTTCTTTATGCAGAGATAACACATACATACACAATGTGAAGATTCTGGCAAAAAAGAAAATCAAAGATACTAACAATATTCTCAAGTTTTAAAAATGGTGTGGAATATGTTCTAGCAATAACATTCTATATTAATATAAACTCTTGATTTAATTTCATGATTTTATGCCAGAAGTATGGTTGGTTTTAATTTTGTTAAAAAAGAAGATATTGGTACCATAACACACTGGCTTATTAATAGTGAAGGCATTTTGTATTCACTGTATCTCAGTGTGTACAAAAATTTTAATACTGATTATTTACCATGATGTTTAAATATTCAAAATCTTTTCAACATAAGAAAATAGTTGCACACATTTAAGAGTGTTTTTAAAATAAAATTCACAACACTATTGTGAATTGGTTCCTTTGTGGTTCCTAGTAATAAGTTTTGCCTTATTTTTTCACATAGTATAAGTTATATTCACATGCAGGGTTGCATTAAAGCCCAGCAGTTTTTAAGCGATGTTATCAAAAAACCATAGATCTGCAATACACCAAAGGGGGACAGTCTTCATAGAACCCTTCGGTTATCTTTGCAGTTAAAGCTGCTCTTTTTGAATATCTTTCCACTTCAGTGTTAAATTATTAGGGTTTCATTATGTGCATTAAAAATGATTTTGATTTCTCCCACAGTTCAGAGTTGGAAATCACTTAGTACAGTCCTGTTTTGAATAAGCAAATGCTCTAGTACATGAAATCTCTCAATGCAACTCTGATATACATAGTCTCTACATCCTTAGCTGTATTACCAGTAGATCCTGGAACCAAGTAAGACAGTTTCCCTGTTTTCACAATCCATTTAATTGTTGTTTTGAAATCTGAATATTTCTGTCATTCTCTTTTGTATGGTTCTATTTTCATTTTGTTACTGTGTAAGACCAGTGTAAATCTACTCCTATAGATTTTTCAAATATGCTTTTAAGTAATGACTTTATTCAAGGCAACAAGTCCATATAACAGCCAAGTGAGATGTATTGTTTTTCTTTGTATAAATGATTGGTAAGCACACAGAATATACAATCTACCACAACTCCAAGATCTTCTATTCTTATCAAATAAGCTACAAATTCACTTATAATTCTCTTTATCCAGAAAGTTAAAGCTACATTTCAATCTCAAATTCCTGCTAAACAATTCAATCTCAAACTCTTGGGCTATCCTTTCATGGTCCTCAGAGAAGTTTCACAGGAAAAACCCACTGTATTTTGACAATGAACTTTCTGACTGTGAAGACTCAGACTCACTACAGCCAACCAGATTTAGCATATTTTTTCCAGGCAGTTCATATATTATTTGCCTGCCAAACTCCAGTATTATTTTTTAAACTAAAAAAAATGTAGAAAACAGATTTAGTTTCAGAAAGCTTGTATGACACCAATAAACTGCATTGCTTTTTTCTCTCCTGAAAAAATTTTAAAGGAATTTATCACTGAGTTCATAGCTTCAACATAAGTAATATGAGGTGTGATTTATTTACTTCTAATGTTTTTTCTGTCCACAGGGTTATTACTACTCTTGCAGTGACTCCTATTTTGATGCATTTGGGTCGTGAATATAATTGGCAATTGGGAATGGTTATTGCCTGGTCTGGAATTAGAGGAGTTTATAGCCTACTCTTGGCTCCTGATGTTTATAATCTGGCTGAACAAAAAGTAACGGCTCCACATCTGGTAGGAAAAATCATGTCTTGTGATTATTTATCCACTGCTATTTGTAGGACTTGTCATTGTATCCAATAATAAAATTAGTTTCAAATTAGACTTTAAAAATGTATTATTTTTCTTTTCTTTTTGAGACAGGGTCTCACTAGGTAGCCCAGGCTGGTCTTGAACTTGCAATGATCCTTCTGCCTCAGCCTCCAGAGCGCTGGGATTAGAGACATGAGTCACCATGCCTGGCTAAAAAAATGCATTTTTTTAAGCAGAAAAGAACTGAGAGAAAGGTTTATTTATGTTGGCAGTGTGAAAGGGACCAATACATTGTACTGGTTAAGGACAGAGGTTTTAGATAGACTTGGCCTTACATCTTGACTCCATCCTTTACAAACTTGGTGACCCTAGGGGAAGTTACAGAGTCTTTCCCAGACTTGATGTCCAGTTGAGGTTGAGATAATGCTTAACAAATGCTATTTTTTTTTTCAGTATCTGTCAGAAAGCACAGAAAAAAATACCCTTATAGAGAGCATTATAAGCCCTAAAGATATTAGAACAAAAGCATGAATGTTGGTTAAGTGCACGAAAGGAAGAAAGAATTTATAAATAAGATAAAGATTTTATAATAATGATGTTAATGATCTAGTTATGTTTATATCATCAGTACTAATTAAAAAATTCAACCCAAAATTTCATTATCTCCAAAGATTTCTCAAAATCTTTCTCCTCCGCTGGGGGGCAACATCTGTGCTGTGACACTGCAGGTAACATCCAAGGAGCCTAGGGCACCTGCAGGCAGGGTGTAGGCGCCTCCTCATTTGTGACAGATGGCGAGTGAGCCAGAGAAGGCGACAGACCTCTTTAGGACTAGTTCCCAGTCACGTAAACCTCAAACCTGTTCTAGGGAAGGAGGAAACCACTCAAATGTTATACCTCAAGATCACCTTCCCATTTGTCAAAGAGCATGAAAGTAGATGGACAGTATTTCCTGATATTGTCTGATTTTCAGCTTGAGATTTTTTCATCTTTACTATTTGGCTATTTGACTCTTACCCAGAAGGTCCAAGGAAAGACTGTCAACTCTTAGAGGCAATAGCCTTCGGTATATAATACGATAGGGAAAGAACTCGGATGCTCTAACTCTCAAGAGAGGACATGTTTTTCTTGATAGATTCCTCATCACATCTCTCCTGAGGATTTATATCCATGGGCCTTGTCTGGAAATTAATTTGGAGTTTAGGTAAACTGGTGGCTTTGCAAAGATTTGGGACCTTCCATGTTCCAAGTGAAAAGTATCAATAACTAACATTTAAGAGCTTTTAATTCTCTTTTATGCAGTGAATTGGTCCCAAATCGAATGGGTACCCTTTACAGTACTTCCTAATTCTGTCTGATGTTATGAATGCCCTTAGCTCCATCTAAACCTAAAGAATGGTAAACATCAAAGAAGGATCTGGGCGTCAGTGTGTTTCACAAGCACTCTAGGACAGGTGACAGTCATCTGCCAAGTCTGGAAAACACTCTGGAGATGATAATTCTATAAACTGCACTTTTCAATGAAGGACACTGAGACTCAGAGGCCCCAGGCCACATGGCTAATAAATAGCAAAACCAAGGCTGATAAATGTGCTATCTTTTGTTCATGCATAGCATGTTCTCCAACCCTACCGCAGCTCCAGCCTGCTCCTTCTGGGCCTGGTACAGCTGCAGTAATGTGGGTGGTGCACAGTCCTTGTCCCAGACACAAGTACCAATGCCTGGGGTGGCCAGGGCTTACCCCACCCCTCAAGCTCAGGAGCCATGTCCATGAGGACTCCCACCCTGCCAGCCATGGGTAGCTGTTGCCGGAATGGGCAGTGTGGAAAGCTTTTCTCCGTATCCTTATCTCAGAATCTATAAATCTATCTATAGTTCCTCATTTTGTTGGAAAATTAATTTTTGCATCAGTATGTTATGTCCAAACAAGGTTTACAAAACATCCCTTTTATCTTAATTTACTTATCAAAAACTGAATTAAAAATGTGGATTAAGGGGCGGGGGGGTAAAAAATATGGATTAAAGTTGAACTTTGATGGTTAAATGGATGATTATCTTTGGAAAAATAACTTAATCTTTTGGTTCTAACCATTTGTATGCTTTATTTTAGTTTATATTCTTTATTCAAGCAGTATCACTGTTGACTATGGGAATAAATTCATACATGATGACTCAGTCAGCTAAGACATTAGGTAAGGCATACATATCATTCTAAAGACATCATATCAGAACAATACCTGTGTTCCTGTGTTTACAGCAGCACAATCATAATAACTGAATCCTGGAGACAGCCCATGTGTCTGTCAACAGATAAATGGATAAAGAAAATATGGTACTATAAATAATGGAATGTTACTCAGCTGTAAAGGATAAATTTTAGACATTGTAGAAAAATGGGTGCACCTGGAAATATAATGTTAAGCAAAATAAACTGGACACATATTGGTATGGTACCTCATTAGAGTAAGGCAAAATGTAAATAAAAAGCAAAATAAAGGACTGATAGAAACAGAGAGATAGATCTTTTACAAACAAGAAGTGGTACAGGGTCCGGGATTTAGCTCAGTGCCCTAAGCGCCTGCCTGGCAAGTGCAAGACCACGAGTTCAATCTCCAGTACCAAAGAAAAGGAATACAGAAAAAGGGGCCAGGGGATTAGCTCAGTGGCGTAAGTGTCTAGGAGTGGTACAAGAGACTGAGAATGAGGGAAGAAGGGAAGGGAATGGGGAAGCATAAAAATTATTTAAGATGTGCCATATATGTGTAATAAATACAATGAATGGAAACATTATATATCATTACATGAACTAAAAATAATAATGAAAATAGGGAAGGGGGATGTAGAGCTAGAGGAAAGAAGGTGGGTAGGAGGGGAAGGGGAATAAAACAGAATCAAAAAGTGATATGCAAATGATATTCCTCCCCACGATGACTGGAAACCTCATGCATTGCAAGCATGTAATTTTATTTTGAACTTAAAATAAAATTTTAAAGGACACCATTTTAACTCATTATGAGACGTTTCACATGCAGTTTCAAAGACAGAACAGCTTCACTGAGGTGGAATTGAGTGAACAGGCAAAGGTCAGAATTCAAATGCATACCTCAACAAAATACACACTGCTGCAAGTGTTTTGGATATTCAGGTTTGCACGCCAGGAAACAGAGGTGTTAAATTTGAGGGGTGTTTTATTGTAGTGGCTTTTACATTTCATTACATACAAGAAGCATGTGGAGAACTCTTTAAGTCAAATTCTTAGGCCAGTTTGATTTTGTGGCTGCAGAGCCGAGCCCAGGAATCCTGTTTCCTAAGCTGCCCCCTACTTGCAGGGAACACAGGTTGTTCTCTACCTTTTGAGAAATACCAGTGGGTGCCTTGAAGTGGAAAATCCTTAGCAGTTGAGTCGGATAAAGCTGAGTTGTATAGCCAAGGGGAAATAGTGGATACTTTGGGGGGAAATTTTTCGATTAAAAATTGCCATTGCTCTAGTCACTGTGTCCTGGCTATGCAGGTGACTTCACGATTTACTGACATCATATGACTTTATTTTCCACTGGAGTGTGTGAAGGCCCTTTGCTTTTCTTTCTCACAGGTCTCTGTGTTATTTCTCTCCCAAGACAAAGAGTTATACAAAATGTCATTCATCACATACAGCAGATTCGACAGAACACAATAGCTTTATTTAAAACGGAGAAACTTACGACGAATGTTAATTGGACTTTAGTAGAACAAAAAACCAAGATTGAATATGCTATTCCTGTGAGTTCATACCTGGCAAAAAATAATCTTCCTTTCCCTCCCTTGATCTGCTTGTCTCATCTTAGTCTTTAATAAAAAACCTGGTTCTTTTAACTAAATGTCAGAAAACTGAGGGGAGATATTTACTAGCTTTGCTAGCTTGGTGAAATGACTTCTTTGAATTCTTTCTCTAAAGAGAAGGTCTTGGTAATTATCCTTAGTTACACAACCCCAGGAGAATGGATGCTTTTACAAACTGGCTGACTGAGTATCAAGCAATGGTCTCTGCTAAGATGATTTTTCCAATGAGCTGAGAGATGTAGAAAACTCTCCCTGCATAATTATTAAAAGAAGCAGAAATCACAAGCTGATCAGAAAGTAGTAAAGAATAAACAGGTTTGGAGGAGAATCTGGCTTTTAATTCTTCCAAAAGATATCACTCTTGAGGCTGAGACAGGAGTTTCACTGTGAATTTGAGGCCAGTTTGGGCTACATAGTGAGTTCAAGGCCAGCCTCAATTACATAGTGAGACCGTGTCTCAAAAACCAAAAACAAGAACAAATAAGAAACAAAACAAAACAAAACAAACCCCAAAAACTCTTCCAAAGAGTATTTCACAATTGAAACAATACTTAACCATAATTTTAGCATTTCTGATTTGAATTACTGAAATTTTTGTCGAATATAGCACTTGCTATCTTCTTATAGTTTTTATTTACTTTTACTTTATCTCTTTGTGTTTTAAAACTTAGTCTGATAATCGTCGGGTTTCCAGTCTGTTGTGTGATGATGAAACTAGCGAGTGTCCAACCGATGAAGTTTTAATAGAAGAAGCCAAATTGCACGTAGCTATAATGCAAATGGTCGGTACTGTTTAAACATTTTCAAAACTTTTAATCTTTAAGGCTTTCTGGTGCCTTAGAACAAATATTTCTCCTTTCTGATAGTCTATTGCTTATTAAAATTAATATTTGATTTATTAGAATTTGGACAAAACTAAAAGCAAAAATTTAGACCCAGTCTATTGATAAGAGAGGCAAAAAGTCTATGACTGTGTAAATATGACACGCTTTGTCCACTGACTATAATTGTTTGTATTCTTCCTGCATTCAAAACATACTTGGCTTCTTCCAACACCCCTCAAAACTTCAATCTATTATGGTGTCAAGTAGCCCAGCAGCTCCTGATCTGCGTTTGGTCCAGGCGAGAGGCTTCTTGATTGCATCTCCTTCAGTATGACTTCTCTTGATCTAGAGACCTGGGAACTAAAAGGACAGTGTATCTGCACCCTACACACTGAACTCTCAGTGATAATAACAGATCCTTCTGTACGAGCAGAAGAAATACATAGAAATCAGGAGACAGGAATGGTGGTGCATATCTTAATTGTAGCCCTTGGAGGAGGCCTTGCAGGAGGATTGTTGCAAGTTCAAGGCCATCTTGGGCTACATACTGAGTTCAAAGCCATCATGAGCCATAGAGTGAGACCCCGTCTCAAAGGAAAAAAAAAAAAAAAAAAAAAAGAAAAAAAAAAAAAGAAAAAGAAAAAGAAAAAGAAAAGAAAAAGCAAGCTAACAGGCAAGAAAGAAATCACTGACCCATGATGACTATGAATCCAGGGGGTAAATGCACAACTCTTTCCATTCTTTCCATTTCTATAAGAAATAAACCCATGCTTGTAGCTGAGTGACTTTCTTTTTTAAAAAATTTTTAAAAAATTTTATTTAGGGGCTGGGGATTTAGCTCAGTGGCATAAGCGCCTGCCTTGCAAGCAGGCAGTCCTGAGTTCGATCCCCGGTACCGATAAAAAGGAAAAAGACACAAAAAATTTTTTTATTTAAAGAAAAGCTAAACAAAACAGAAAATGGGTAGAAATAGGATATACTTTCAAAGAAAAAAAAAAAGAAATAGGGCTGAGGATATAGCTCAGCAGCATAAGCGTCTGCCTTGTGAGTACGTGGTCGTGAGTTCGATCTCCGGTACCAAAAGAAAAAAAAAAAAAGACGTACTTTCAAAGAGAGAATAAACAGTAAGAAATCACTAGTTGATATTTGCATAGTATCCTCTTACAAATAGTTATTCAAAATACAAAAATGGAGCATATAAAGTGGGGATTCAAATAGCAAGACTACAAATAGTTCAACTATCCAACAAAAACTTTGTAATATGGTTATCAATCTTATACACTTAAACATACATGCAGTTATCCATATCTTCATTTATGTTGAGATTAAACTAACCCAAGCAGGCTAAAATCACTCTGAACAAAGAATAGTATTGCTGGGTGTCACATTATGACATTCCAGAGTCAGCACTGGGTACTTTAGTGTCTCTTTTTCTTCAAAGATTTGTTCATCATGTGTCATAAACTGTTCTCATAAATTGTTTATAGGTTTTTATGCATGCATGCGTCTTAACATGCAATTCTATCCTCTCTATATTAAAGGGAGAAACAAAACAAAGCAAGACAAAACAAAACATATTCCTATAAACACATGAAATAAGAAAAACATATAAGACCACTGTACAAGGAGTTCTACCATGGTTACTGTGTTGTCTCTTGTTATCTTCAATGCTATATCATCAGACATGGTATAATTGAATGTTGTTGGGAGCCGCGGCCGACACCGGTCGCCTTACTTGGCGGACGTAGGGCCTGTGGGTGGGAGCGGAGCCTGAGCTAGATTGCCCCTCCCATCGAGTGAGCCAAGTTGGCGCCTGCTTCCTGCCCCCTGATTGCCCTGGCGACGTAAGCAGCCCGCGCAATAGAATAGTCTGCCTAGCAACAACTGATGTTAGCCAATCAGCCCGCATCGCGCGCTTTGAACTGATTGGCCACTGTTACCCTATAAAAGTAAATGCCTCTCCCGCCACGAGGGAGAAGCACAGAGAGAAAGCACAGAGAGAGATAGAGAAAGTCCACCGGCGAGAAAGGGCTGGTGGCAGAGAGGAGGCCTCGCGGGGCCCACGCGGAGACAAATAAAGGCAAGGTTGCACACCGCCAGACTTTGTCGTGTGTCTTTCCTGCCGGCCGGGAGCGACCCCGACATTTGGTGGCCCGCACGGGGACTGATCAACCCCGAGACATGGCGGTGGTGTGCAACGCTCCAGCGTGGTGCTGCCGGACAGGTGAGTTGGGGATAAGCCTGGGCTCTGGGTGGTGCGCACCTACAGGGCTTTTAGACTCCCCTCAGGCTCACGCGTAGGTGACGGGTTCTTTAAGTCACACGCGGTGAGTAACAGCCCTTAGAGGTTGAGGATGGGTAATTTACCGAACGCGGAGGCGCGGCCCTTGGTAAAGGCCCTTAGAAAGCTTTTAAAAGCTAGAGACCGCAGGGTAGGTCAAAAAACACTGGAACTATTCATAACAGAGGTAGATAGGGTGGCTCCCTGGTTTTTACCCACAGGGCATTTAAACCTGCCGTCATGGGAGAAGTTAGGCGGGGACCTCGCCTCGGCGGAATTGGGAGGCGATATTTCGCCGGCTATTCGCCCCCTGTGGGAAATGATACATGCATGCCTTGACTCCTATGCCGAGTTGCGCCGCAAATTGTGTGCGTGCGCCGCTCGAAAAAAGCAGAGAGAGGAAAAAGGACCCCCGAGAGCCCTCTGGCGGGGAGGAGATAGAGAGCCATCCGCTCCGCCCTGGAGCTCTTCTCCAGAAGTGGCTCCCCGCCGAGAGGCCGCTACAGGGAACCCTCCCTTCTCTCAGCCGGCACAGGAAGTGACGCCCCGTTCCACTCTGTCGCGATCGCCGTCCTACGTTGCGCCGCGGGGCGGACGGTATTTTCATGGGCGGCTACTCTGCCGAGCAGGCTGAGAAAAACGCCGGTCGAGGAAACGGGGGCTGGGGATTTAGCTCAGCGGCATAAGCGCCTGCCTTGTAAGCAGGCAATCGCGAGTTCGATCCCTGGTACCGATAAAAAAAAAAAAAAACAAAAAACGAAAAAGACCAAAAATAAAAAAAATAAAAAATAAAAAACAAAAAGGGGGAGTAAGCCAAGACCTGCCTCCAAAGGCGCGGTTATCTATGGCATGACAATGGATGGGCCCGGATCCGGTGGTTAGCTGGAACCGAGGCGCGGTTTGTGTTTTTCCGCAGGAACCGGGACGAAAACCACTGTGGGTCCCAGAGAGGTTGACGCGACAAGTCCCTCGACTAAAGATCAGGCCTGTTCCACCAGAGGCCAACCGCAGACCCAACAACAAGATGAGCCCTAAAAAAACTGCAGGACAATCCCTTTTTGGGGAGCCTGGAATGGCTTGCTCCCCTATGTTTTACCATTGTTAGGTCCCCTGTGCTCCTTGCTTCTGTTCTTACTTGTAGGACCATTCTTGCTCCGATGGGTCACATCATTTATTAATGGGCGCCTTGCGGCGGCCCGGCGTCAAGTACGCCTGGTTGCCCATGCAGCCCTGGCAGCAGCCCGTGATGGGCACAATGACCCCCAGGCCTACGCATGGCTCGCTCTGGCCTACGACCGGGTCTAGGTGTGGCGGGTCTTCCGCATTCCTTCCCTAATGACACCACACAGCAGGGTAGGTGAGTCAATGACGGGTAAGAGCGTGCCTCCCCAGCACGACTCGACCTAAGCCAGGCCCTACCCCATGGCGCACGAAAGCCGCTGGATTACTAGAATCTGACCAGATCTAGATGCCTCTCCGAGGGGATCACACGGAGGGGCATGAGTGCATGCCTATGTGCATCCAGGTTCCGTCCAGTTCACTCCTGGCCCTGGAAAAAGGACGAGGGTCTCAAGGCCTTGGCGGACCCGGGGGCGGCCGACCAGGGTCCAAGCCAAGGGCCTACGGTGGGCCTCAACACAGGGCATAAGCCTCTGCACTCGATCCAGGGCGGGCTGCGATGCATACATTCATTCAAAGTAAATAAAATAGGGGGAGATGTTGGGAGCCGCGGCCGACACCGGTCGCCTTACTTGGCGGACGTAGGGCCTGTGGGTGGGAGCGGAGCCTGAGCTAGATTGCCCCTCCCATCGAGTGAGCCAAGTTGGCGCCTGCTTCCTGCCCCCTGATTGCCCTGGCGACGTAAGCAGCCCGCGCAATAGAATAGTCTGCCTAGCAACAACTGATGTTAGCCAATCAGCCCGCATCGCGCGCTTTGAACTGATTGGCCACTGTTACCCTATAAAAGTAAATGCCTCTCCCGCCACGAGGGAGAAGCACAGAGAGAAAGCACAGAGAGAGATAGAGAAAGTCCACCGGCGAGAAAGGGCTGGTGGCAGAGAGGAGGCCTCGCGGGGCCCACGCGGAGACAAATAAAGGCAAGGTTGCACACCGCCAGACTTTGTCGTGTGTCTTTCCTGCCGGCCGGGAGCGACCCTGACAGAATGTATCAGTACATAACATAAAAACATAACTTTGTATATAGTATAAAACTTCAAAAACAGTTCGTAATCAAACCAGAATGTGTATCGTAGTGAGTCTTGTCATCTTCAGTGTAGTTGCCTATACTCTCAGACTTGATACTATCAATCATATCAGTTTTGAATAAAATCTGTCGATACCAAACAGCAATCAAACAAACCAGATTTAACTAAGATCAGTCATAATAAAACAGTAGAAGTCATATAGGGCTCCAGATTAAGTTAATAGGAAATTAAAGATGATCACTGTACTACATCCTGATGCTTTGGGGATAGCAGTCTCAAATCTCAAATCCTCAAATCTAATGCAAATAGACAAACTGGGACAGAATAAAATCTATCTAAGCAGAGTGGTGTGAGTAATATGGGTTGTAATTCTTGATACACTGTTAACAATATCTTCTGCCATCTTTTTAAAGACTATCCCTCCCCTTTCACTTCCTCAGGGTGCACTGTGCATTTTTGGGTCTCACCAAGAC